GGGAGGGGGCCCCCCCGCCTTCTCGGGGCACCCGGTCCCGGGCCCCCCCCCCCCCCTTTTTGTGTTTCAGCACAAGATTTGTGTTCCAGATTGTGTAAGTGCTCGATAACAATCTAGATTTATTTCAGATTATATTAAAATACTCAAATTTGGGTAAAATTTTAAAGTTACATTAAATCTGATAGTAAGAAATAAGTTTTTGATAGTTTTCTGGGAGGCATGAAATCTGTCTGCAATTGCATGGTCCCTGTTTTTTTTCAGTGTGATGAAATGTCCGTGGTTTGTTGCTGCTTCATGTTTGCCAGAAGAGTAGTGTTGGATTTGTTCCCAACTTTTGTTTTAGGAACGATTCATTCATTTGCATCTTATTTAAATACTTTTATGTTTTATTAGAGTCCGTGAACATCATGGACAAGTTCGACTTGGAATGGTAGGTTAACGTCTTAACTCTTGTTTGTTGTGAGTCCAAAATTGCTGGAATAGAATCACGGAATGGTTTGGGTGGGAGGGACCTCAAAGCCCACCCAGTCCCACACCCTGCCATGGGCAGGGACACCTTCCATAGCCCAGGTTGCTCCAAGACTCATCCAGCCTGGCCTTGGGCACTCCCAGGGATGGGGCATCCACAGCTTCTCTGGGCAACCTGTTGCAGTGCTCCCCACCCTCTGCAGGAAGGATTCCTTCCTGATGTCCCATCTCAATCTCCCGCTTTCCGTTTAAACCCGTTACCTGTTAGAGGTGGTATGCCTGACCTGAAGTACACTTCTGCTGACTTAATGCGCTTGAGACCAAAGCTTGCATTTTCCACCAAAGGTTTTTCTGTAAAAAGACCCGTTGTTTGTCCATTAGCAGTACAGAGGGTGAAGCATGAGTATTCCAGGATGGAGGTTTGGTATGTTTGCTGTGTCCGGGTGTGCTTTGCAACAGTCAGATTGCACACGCTTGCGTTGTCCATTTTATTCACGTGAAAAACGGGCATGATTTAAAGACATTGTCAGTGCCGGCGTTACTTTACGCCGTGCTGAGCTCCTCAGGTGAGGGTGCAAGCTGCTCCTGCCTTGTAGCTTATCGCGAGAGGAGAAGACAGCACACCTTTTTCAGGATAGCGTTTTTGCGTCTTGGAGGAAGAGTGGAAAATGTGCATGACTCTTTCAGTTGCTGTTGATTGCATAGCTCAGCATACGGAGCTTTCCCTGTTTGAGAGAGATAGTAGTTGCCTTTTTTTTTTTTAAGTAGACAGAATAATGAACAGTTCATTTAAATATCTATGAGTGATTATCGCTTATGGTGAAAATGCAGATGCGTCACCTTTACGTGGTTGTTGATGGATCAAGAACTATGGAGGACCAAGATTTAAAACCGAACAGACTTGCCTGCACTTTGAAGGTATTTCTGTGCTCAGAATTTTTCTCCTATTAACCTGCTATTTCTCTGCAAAGCAGTTCCGGTTTACATTTAAAAGAACGGCAGTCTCCTGTGACTAAAGTAGGTGCATAGCCCCATTTCTCCTCTCATCTTTCTGCCCTGTTGCTTGTGTTGCTAGTGCATGATCTCTGCGGGTTTTTTGAACAGTAAAATCTGTGTGATGTTAGTTTGCCTTGCGTGGGTGCTTCTGCACAGCAAAAACATTGTGTAAGGACATACTATGGAAAGACACATCATGGAAAGCGTGTGGAAGGTAAGCTGAAGCGTTACCCATAATAGGAGGTGGAAGAAGAACAAATGTGCTTTCATTACACGCTGAGATTTTTAAAAAGATACAGTTGTGTTTTGATCAATTCTGTGTTGAATGGACCCTAGACGGGAGTTGAGTCGGGCTGCTGCTTCAGACCGGAGGAATTGGACTGTACATTTTGTAATGTATGATCTTCTCTGACCATAACCACTGGGCATGCAGACGCTGGGTTTTAATGGGTTTGTGCGAACTGGTGCTTTTTGGTGTGTCTTAAACCTCCTTCTGAACCAACAGTAATCTAGAGGTTTTAATAGAGGAATTGAATAAAATAAGGTGTGTTTAGTTTCTGAAATTTACGCTGCAGTGGTGACATGGGAGGAAGGAGTAGGATGGAAGGGCTAGGGTGAAAGGAGAATGGAAGAGAAGGGCTCTTCCCTCTCCCCCACTTGTTTTCCCCAACTTCTTTTTGTGATACTGGATGTTTAGCAAGTACCAACTGCTTAATGCATGTGGAATAAAGCTGTAATTAGTTTTTAACAGTCTTGTCTTTTCTTTGTAGCTACTGGAATACTTTGTTGAAGAGTACTTTGATGAAAATCCTATTAGTCAGGTATGTGTAACCAGGCAAGAAGCAAGTCACTGAAAACTGTTTAAAAAGTTAGTTTTAACACTGTCTAGTAAACTGTTTTCAGTTTTGCCTTTTTTTCCTCTTTTTCAGATTGGCTTAATTGTAACGAAGAGTAAAAGAGCTGAGAAAATGACAGACCTTTCAGGTAGGGGTATAGGTTTGGTTGTTCTAATTTTTGCACCTGTTTTAATCTTTTGCGCTGATGTATTCTACCTGGATGGCACTGCTGAAAGCGAAGTAGCGTTTGCATAATATTTTTAATTTAAAAGAGAGTTTACTGCAGGTTATCTGAAACCAGAGTCTTTCTTTTGATCTGTCATCACGTGCTTGTTTGTGGTCAAGCCTTACCTAGATTGCAACCAAAATATACTTTGTTTCCCTTATAATTTCTCACCCTGTCTGTTAATTTTATATTTTACGATACCTGTGCGTTCTGTGAGGTCTGACCGGATGTTAAGAAGCAAGGTTTCCTTGGTTCCTGCTTCTGTCGGTAGCAATCCATCTGGCTTCGTAGATGAAGGCTTAATTTTTTCTCTTTATTCACCTGTAAAACTGGAGCACTTTGAGGAATTTGAGAATCAACCTTTGAACAGCACTTTGAGAGTAACAGGGGAAACTAAACTCTGTTTCTGCCGAAACACTCGTGAGACACTTCACGCTCACGTTAATTGCTTAGTGATAAGCAGCAGTCTTAGCGTTTCTAACAACTGAGTGCCTGTAGAGTAAACGTCTTTCTGGTCACACACTGTTTTATTTTCTACGTTCTGATTAAGAGGTCTGTTTCTAAGAAGAAACATACAGTTGTAAGTCGCAGTTTGAAAACTGTTGTTGTACAAGTACACTTCCTTAAATATACACTTTAAATATTTCAATTCTTACAGCTGGCTATTTCAGGTGAATTGTTTTTTTCACTTACAGGTAACCCAAAAAAGCACATAGCTGCCCTGAAGAAAGCAGTGGATATGAACTGCAGTGGAGAGCCATCTCTCTATAATTCCCTAAATTTGGCCATGCAGACTCTAAAGTTAGTATATACAGGCAGGGTTTTTTTGTTTTCTTTGTTTTCCATAATCACTGTAATGCTGATTTTTGGGTGAGGTTTTCTGAGGGGCAGGGAAAGTATTTGTCACAAGTAGCATCTTGCATCATGCTGACTGGAGCCTTTAAAAGGCAAGTTTATCTACTCTTGCAGTACAAACTGTTAAAAAGGTAATTTCTGCACTACTAGCATATTTAATTTTCTAACTCAAGATGCTTCTGTTCAGAGGTGTGCTGCTTATAAAAATTAACAGTGTTTTCAAACAAAGTACATGTTTTTATGTTGTGTATAAATTTGGTGATGAAAGGCTCTGCAATTATGTTTTGCTGAAGGGTTAAGCTATCAGAGAGGGCAGTGTTAGGGGTTAGTAATGATAAGAGGAGAAGAAACAGTATTGAATCACAATAATCACAGCACGGTTTGGGTGGGAG